CAACTACATTCAATAACCGAACGTCAAAATATAGAACGCAAAATGTTGAATCATTTAAAATAGTGAGAATTATAGGAACAAGTTACGCTCAATATGTCTTACGTACTTGAAAAATATTCTTATCAATAGGTCATACATGACAAGTATATTCAACATATCACCCACCAATCAAACTTTTCTGAAAAGATTATTATATATAATATATTAGCTAATTCTGTAAATAAATTTTTGTTCAATGTACATTTTATTCAATATTATTCGCTTAGATTAGATATACACATCAATTTAGATAAATTCATGTTAGCCAAATAAATACACAAATCTAGTCACTTGTAATTAAAGTCAAACATTATAGGTGAATAGAAAACATGTCATAAATTCATTTTTTATACAGAAACAAACTTGAAAATCATAAACTTTTGTTTATTGATTCATGTAACGTTCAATTGTGAAAATATTATTTGAAATTTTACCAATTTGGTAATTGTTTGAAAATGAACCCGTTTTTAATGATGAGAATGTTACAACATTACATTCGATCAATTGTAAAGGATTAGTAATACTGTGTTTTAGCTGAATTGATGTTTCATAGTATATTAACGAAACCTATTAACAGGCTCAACAAACAAAGGTGCTTGATAATCCGTCAATGGATAGTGAACCATGAGGTGTTTCTGTAATCCTTAAGTGATGAACGAACTATATCAATGAAGTTGTTATATGACCATTAAACTAAGTAATCCAACATCACAGGATCTCGTCTGAGACTTTTAAATCGGGTAATGTGGTATTTAATCTCACACTATGAATTGTTCATGTGAGACGAAGAGCATAGATTTCTTTATGACAACCTCGAACTACGTAAGATTTTCATAATAAAAACGAATGTCAATGTGTGGTGCGCGCTACTTATAAATAGTATGTGAGGCGAGTGAAAACGTAATGTCTGGCAGCAGAAGATGGGGGAAGATCAAGAAAGGAAGAAGAGTGGGAACGCAATGGAATTTGTATGAAACGCATGAATAGTGAAATGTCAGACAATAGATTGATGTTTTGCAAATTAACGGTTTACAATATGGTTTTCCTATTTTACCGATAAACTCTGTAATTTTCGATGAATACAATTCGGTTGCCCTCACCTGTGTTCTCCTTCAATACAAATGAAGTTTTTTCACATAAATGAATTAGTTAAATTTACTCCATCATGATGTCAACTTAGTGTGTTAAAACATTGTGCAGAGATATATATTGTAAATCATAACCGAAGTAATATTTATTCTTAGTTAAGGATAGAATCCGATTTGGTCTCTTGTGCTTTTATGGTTATGAGGGCGGATGTTACTTCCCGGCTACCCATACCATGGAAGGGTTGTGGTTGTCAGAAGGGGTATTGGCCTCGTGACTTTCGAAGGAATTCGGCTTTCATAATGAGACATCATGACTCTTATAAATGAAGACCTTCTAACACTCAGAGCAGAGTTTAAGTGGTTTTAATTTTTTTTTCTTGTGAACGTTATTTTCAACGAGTTAGTTTTCTACGGGATGGGGTCAACAAGCTCATGCTCTACTCTCCTCCTCTTGGGAGTGGCAGTAGCTGGGAGGGTCTACAGGCGGATAGAATCCAAAATGTTTGTATTGTAAACATTGAAAAATTTTGATCACAAATATTTCTCATGAGAAATTAGTTGATGATAAACACTCTCTATTCTATGGGAAGTTTGAATTTAATTCGCCAATGATCTTTGAATTATAGAATTATTTATGCCTCACATTGATTGGTCTAGAGAGGAAGCAAACATTGGGGGAGCATAATCTGTTACAGATCTTCGAGAATCACTCTACCTGGGTAAAAGAAATTTCAAACTATTTAGAAGATCACTGCTTCAAAATCTTATCTTATGTGATGATAAAGTCTCACGAACATTATTATTTAGACCAAACAATGAGATGTGAGAAAATTCTAATCGGAAACTTATAATAGTTGAGTAATTAGAGAAATTCACAATTTTGTTTGACAGAATTTCTTCTATTTATCAACATTTCCGATTTTTAAATTTCATTTTTAATGTATTCTGTTTTTAATATTCCTTCAATTTTTCATTTGGACATTTAACTTTCAAACATTTTCAATCTACAAATCTAATGGTGGTCTAACATTGATCGATTCATGGTTTCAAAAATGTGTAACTTAACGATCTTCACAACCTCGTAATGCAAATTACCTCTGCTCACTAGTGACTAGCTTCATGAGGAATCTTCTCCGAGTTCTAGTGGGAAGACGTGACCAGTGAAGTTCAACCTGTTCGGGTGTAGACAGTGTCTACCGAAGACTGTGTATGAGGTTGCGCAACTCCCTGAATTGATCAAGTTAGACATTAACACCGTTAGATACCGGTTCGGTGGTCCGTTGGTTAGGCGTTCGCCTACAATACCGAAGGTCCGGGGTTCGAATCCTGCGGGGTGCAGGAGTCGTAGATACGCACTGCTGAGGAGTCTCGTACCAGGACGAAACGGCCGTCCAGTGCTTCTAGGTTTCTAATGGTGGTCTAACATTGATCGATTCATGGTTTCAAAAAATCATTTTTTTTACTTTATTCAACGTTTTAATGAATAGTTCAAATTTCTTTTTTATTCATTCTTGAACATTTGAAAAAATAGTGTTTTGTTTCAATAAATGTAAATGCGATTAGATCATTTTTATTTGACTGAAATGTAGATTTTGTATTTTGATAAAAAAAAATAGTTAAAATCATTAGTAATAATATTTAGGGGAAGGATAGTATATTCTTTATCGTACTCCAGGCATTAGATTGAACAAGCGTTAAAGCATGTTAAACGATTGCTTTTGTAAAGTGGAGTAAGTTTGGTGTTTTTAGTCTGTTAATTATTCTGAGTGCATTATTTACATCCACTTCTAGTCTGCCGTCCGAAAAGTATTGGACAATTACACTTGTATAGACTTTACTTCGTTTCAGCTGTAAGCCGCCAAGAATGTGTTCATAAAACCTAGTAGACCTCATGGATTCACATTTATCTACAGTAGCAAGTATATACAAAGGACAAAATAAATGTTTGTCTCACATCAATAATTCTTTAATTTTTTTTATTCATGTACCAAACTGTGTTTTCTTTCAACTCCTGATATTCATCTTTTTCATAATCTTATAGATGTGATTACCTAATAATTTGTAGTTTTAAATGGAATGTAGCTGATGAGAAACTGTTAAATGGAATGAATTCATTTTCTCTACAAATCTTCTTGTTGTTGGTCTGTTTAAATACCAAAAATACAGTTCAATACATAAACAGGTGACAGTTTATGATACAAACAACATCTACCTTACTTATCTTTGGTTACAATAAAGAATTCTTGAAATGAAGTTCTTGTTTCAGCAGCTATCTGTATATTAGTATCAGGAGTAAAGACAGATTCTAAATATTCTATAAATGTACTTGAGAACAATTTCCAGTTTAAAATGTTACTAAATGATTTAAAAATATAACCATTGCCTTGAGATTTGAAAAATTTTTGCTCAGTTATCAGATAGATTGAACAAATTATGCATGAATAATAGATTAATTTAGAGAGATGAAAATCTTAATTAACAATTATTTTGGAAGCATAAAATTATAGTGAAAAATATTATAAGATGGCTAAAATAAAGTTCCGATTGAGGAGGTTTATAACGAGCAGTTTTAAATTAATTAAAATGGTAATTTTTATGGAAGTTTTTACATGCGATTACATTGACAGTGAACTTTAAGAATAAACTGGGCGAATTTTGTTTTACGTGTAGAAAAAAAGAGAGTAGGCTGGAGAATGCTGGTCAGAGGCATGTATTTCATTGGGGGCTGACAGAAGTAAGTAAGTAAGAAGGTAGAAATTATGAATTGTTTGTGAATTTAATCTGAAGTCTATGCACAACACAATAAGTAGCTTGGTTGTAAATCAGTGTATAGACGATATAATGTAAAACCATTTTTTGAATCGTTGTAAATGCAAACTAAACGAAACAAAATGAACGTTTGTTTTATCACAGTTTTTGAATGAATTTGTATTGTTACTGTGTCTCATAGCTGTAAAAGATATACCATTGAATTCCAACCAATTACTAATCAATATTCTGTTAGAAAATAATTCAAGACACATAACAGAAAACTTCAGTTTTCCCCTCTTACTACAGAACCGAGAACATAATGTAAACAGTTTAGATTTCATCAAAGCACTCAAAGAATTCTCAATAGGAAAGTCAAAACAGTTTTTTTCTATGGGGTCGGAACTTAGAGAACTACCAAAGTCATAATCCAAAAGATAAAAGCGTTTATATACAGTTGATTTCGCAAAATACTTCGTATCCGTCGATCAGATACCATTATTAATAACCTACTGTGCGACAGAACAAACCAGATTCCCGGGGGAGGGAGAAATTAAGAAAAGGTTATGGAAGTGGATAAGAAACACATTGAGGAAAGCACAATACTGAGTCATAAGACAAGCCCCCAACTAGAAGCTAAAAAGCTAACGGAAAAAAGGAAGGTCAAGGAACACACTACTCAGAGGAATGCATGCAGAAATGAGAAGAATGAACAAACTTTGGACAGAATTGGAAACGAAAGTCTAGGAAAGAGTAGGTTGGAGAAAACTGGTGGGTGGCTTATGCTCCATTGGGGATAAGTAAATAAGCTAGTACTCGAAGAAGACAATTTCAACGGGAAAAAAAGCTAGCTCTTTAATACACTGATTAATAGTATTTCATATATTTCTATCGTTCGTTATCTCAAGTGCAAAAAAGTATTTTTTTAAAGCATAAACTATAATGCTGATTTATCATCTTCGGTTCTTAAGCTTATACATTCAAATAACTGTTCATAAGCCAACATTTTATCATTAAAAATAAAAGACTACTGAATTTTAATCATTTCAATCTATTAGACATAAATATTAATATCAAAAACTTAACTTACATAAGTAGATAGAATCATAGTTAAACTGTTCTTACCTGGTAAACATACTGATCCACACATGATTGGATCACAAACACATCTTTGCGATGGACCATAACTAACCCAACAATCAATATGTTGACTACATGATTTATTTGGACAATTAATTGAATCTAATTTATTGATATGTTTTAAATTACAACGACCAAATAAAATATTTGTAAATTTTTCTGTATACATCAATGAATGACAAGATGAAATCATTAATACAATAATTGAACATTGAATAGTGATCAATGTTAAATGTTTAATAGTAGTTCGCTTCATTTCATGTTCAACTTGTTAGTTAACGAAGAAAAAAAAACAATAAATTGACTGAATTCAATCGACTACATCACGTCAAGTTTCCCAAATACATTTATTTAGTCCAAGATTTATTTCAAACTAGATTGGTTAACAATTTTAACAACCAATCAATTTAAAATTGTGTCTAGCTTCAATAGGATTTTCTCTAAGCTTATACTAAAAACCATTTATTTCCTTGTGAATATTGTTTATTGTATTATCTATCATTTAACTATACGAAAGAGTCATTGATAAAAATATAAACTTGAATGAAAATGTCAATTTGAAATGCATCAAAGTGAAAGAAAAATTTATTAAATAATCTGTTTTGTTTATATCTAATCTAAAAAAGTGGTTGATTGACACCGCATACTTGGCATTTTTAATCATTTTTAAATAAAAACGAAGCTGTTACTGAATGTCAAACTAAAGACGAACTGATGTTTTAATAACTGCTGATTAGGATTAAATATCTATCACCACTGATCGATGATGTTCATCGTCAATGACACGATGGATTCATTGATTGCTTACGCCTATTATCCATTGTAAAGCACAAGTTATTAACTAGGACCATTCAATCTATTCTGTCAGATGCTCTCAGTTCTAGATTTGTGTTTTATTTTTTTGGTCTACGTGATAAGTCTGTTCAACGAATTCTCTTTCTGGTTTCCTAGACGCTTCTAATAGTCCCAAATCAAATTTACACACAGTTTCAATATATTGACACTGTTAGATACCGGCTCAGTGGTCTAACGGTTAGGGCGATCGCGCACAATACCGAAGGTCCTGGGTTCGAATCCTGCGGGATGCCGGAGTCGTGCATGCGCACTGCTGAAGAGTCCCATACCAGGACGAAACGGCCGTCCGGTGCTTCCAGGTTTCTAATGGTGGTCTAACATTGATCGATTCATTGTTTCAAAAATGTGTAACTTACCAATCTTCACAACCCCTGTAATGAAAAATAAATGCGTAAAGTACAAAACAGTAGACCAGATCATCAGGTTTTATTTGACTCCGAATTTTTATATGATGATTCAGTTAAGATTTTGATTAACAGTCAGATTTGTAAAAAAAGAAAAATTGAACTGGATTGAACTGAATGAAAAGAATTCAGTTATTCATGGTGTAAATACACATTTATGAAATTAAATAATTTGCCATCTATAATCTATTTGAAAAGGTTAATATATTTCTTCACACAACTCGAACAAAACGATATCGTTCGCACTCGAATTGATGGATGAATGATTACTCGTCAGATCATTTTGTGATACAGTTTCACAACTTCTACAATCCAGCTTCTATTTTACCTTCAGAGGATTTCTCTAATATTTGGTTTAACATCCATCATAGTAGGTTGTAGCTAATGATGTCGTCTGTCAAACAGATCTGAAATATCTTGCCTGTATAACAACTGTATTCAAGTACTTGAAGCTGTTTGTTGATGATTACAGTAGTTCTTCAAGTTACAGTGTCGTGCAGTAGAACTACGCTAACGTTGACATTCAAAATTCTGATTTTGGTGATGGCTTTCATTGGCAAACGCATATCTTAAGTAGTCAGAAATCCTGTGTTTGCGTGGTTTAGTTCTTGCCTTAGTTAACCACACCAGATTGTCAAAATAAACTCCTCCTTCTTATCAGATTCTGTCCCAGTTAAAAAACTGGGGTAACACAAGATAGTGGTGCGTTAGGTTCCTTACTCTTTTTAATTTACATCAATGATACTTGTGATTTTATCTGTAAAGGTAAGCCTTTTCTATTTTGAAGATAACCTTAAAATGAACTTATGAAATTCCATGAATTTTTTAAAATTTTTTTAATACAAATTTAAAATTAATTTACTCAACGTTAGGATTATTAGTCTTGATATGACTATACCTCAACAACATGAATTGTTAACAAGTCAGTTAATAGGAGTAGAACTGAACCTGGAAGCACTGGACGGCATCCGCATCCGCGAAATCGGGAACTCGCAGGATTCAAACCCAGCACTTTCGGTCTTGCGCGCGAACACCAAGCCTCTGGACCAATGGGGCCAGCATCCAACGGCGTTCATGTCTAACTCTGATCTATCTATGTATGAGTTCCATACGACGACGAAAAAGCCTTCTTGTGATTTAAGGTTTTTAATGGTAGTCTAACAATGATTGATTCATGATTTCAATGTATAAAAACGATGATCTACATAATTCTAATTGAAAAATTCATTTTATTTAATAAAAACAAAGTAAATGAGATGACAGGAAAGAATAAATTGTGTAAATCAACCTGCTTTATCACTTACTTACTTACTTACTTACTTACTTACTTACTTACTAACTTACTTACTTACTTACTTACTTATGCACTCACTCACTTACTTACTTACTTACTCACTTACTTACTTACTTACTTACTTACTTACTTACTTACTTACTTACTTACTTACTTACTTACTTACTTACTTACTTACTTACTTACTTACTTACTTACTTACTTACTTACTTACTTACTTACTTACTTACTTACTTACTTACTTACTTACTTACTTACTTACTTACTTACTTACTTACTTACTTACTTACTTACTTACTTACTTACTTACTTACTTACTTACTTACTTACTTACTTACTTACTTACTTACTTACTTACTTACTTCTCTTACTTACTTCTCATACTTCTATTGGAGCGTAGACCTTCGACTGTATGACAACAAAATGTTATGTTCGTCACTAAGTATGCTTGAGGCTATTACGAGTTTACCTTAGTTGATAAACGCGAACGAGACAATTACCAGCGTCCAGATAGGCTACCTTGACTCCCAAGCTGAAGATAGAAGACTTTGTAAGCGTAGAAAGTATATTCTAAAAACACTCAGAAATCACAATACAATCAACCATGCAACTCTCATTTATTTATACATCGTAGAAAGGTCCTTGGAACGGTTACGAAAATACCACACTAAAATACGCAGCAGCCAATCACAGTCATGGATTTTCCTGGTGGGAACTGAAATCTCAAGGTCGACTGATCAGCCCACGCTGGCAAACGTGAAATCCAAATAGTAAGGCACTTATCATGCGAGTGTTGGGGAATATAACATCCCCAACACAAAAACAAGTGATCATAAATATTCATTATTAATCAAAATGTTTAAATGAAACAAAGTTGAACAAAAAACTGTACAATAATAAATGAAAAACGGAACTGATTTTTTTTACATTTTAACTATTGTTGTTCTCTAAATGTGACAAAAGAAGAAACACACTGGCTGGATTTCGCTTTGAAAAACAAAGTGTTAAATTTTTTACTGAAAAAAAAATTCATTAACATTTTTATCTTTTGATAACTATCTTTTTTTGTGTGTAAGAAAATCATTGAACAAAAAAAGCAGAATGAAATTTTTTCGATTCAGCTGGTTTCTTATATTATTTTTTTAAAAAAATAATTATTTTCGAAAGGAATTTTCATCCCACTGATTCATTTAAATTTATTCCGGTTTTTTTGTTTGTTTGTTGTAAGGCAAAAATTGAACCTTTAACTTTTGTTTAAATTTGATTACATTTTAAGGTCAAAAATAATTTTATTTCTTTGGATGGTATTTTGCATTTAATCAAGCTGATTTCATCGCTCACAGTAGCAAAAGTAAGATAAATCAATAGAAGGGAATGGATAATTTTTTTCAGTGGATTTTATTTTGTCTCGTTCGAAACAATCCACTTGTTGCAGACAGAAACCCTGACCGTAGCTGCTACCTTGACGTGGTGGTCGGGCTTGACTATCGTGATGACCCAGCCGGGTTATACTGGCTGGAACATATGTTCCTGAAGGTTCTACCATGCCAGGCAGGTCGATTGGAGAACGATGAGACTAAAAGTAGCTACCCAAGGTCTGAGGGCTTGGGTAGTGGACTTCCGTAGATTACTAGTCTTCGATCATCGATGTCTCCGAAGCATTGCTCGTGTATCCTGGGACAACCGTATAAGCAATGCTGTCGTTAGGAACTGAGTTCTAGGTAAGGATGGCAAATCAATAGATGAAGTAGTGAAACTTCATCAGTTGAGTTAGTTGGTACATGTGTCACGTATGGCTAACCACTGACTGCCGCGACGAGCTATGTTTTCAGTGTAGGAATAGGTTGGAAGAAAGCTAGCGGCGGCCAAAACAAAACATGGCACAAATCCATGAAGTCACTGACAAGTGAACTGAGTCATGTTGGTAGATGTAGGCTAACTGGTTGAGGGTCCGCGAGACGATAGTCACTAGTGTTTAGAGACCTTGAATGATATGACTCAGAATCGTTTGCGGTGGTGCAGGTGCATCCACTCTTTGTGTTCTCTCTAATTCTGATCTTCTGAATTTCTCACGCTCTCTATCTTTCTCCTTCTAAATTTATCTTACTGAATTATACTTCTCGAATCATATCTTCTCTGCTTAATCTTCTCCATTAATTCTAATACTTCTATTATTGCTATCACTCTTGGATTTGAACTGACAGCTACATCTGTGTGCTAATGTGGTATGGCAACCTGAACTGATGTACGTACGTCCGAAGTTCTGCGTTGTATCTGTCTGTCTGTCTGTCTGTCTGTCTGCAGACAGAAACATTAAAGTATAGATTATATGGGGAAATTTAAACTGACCGGATCATTATGACGTTTCTTTTCAGAATATTTAAAGTTGACTTAAATCAATCAGTCATATCAATAAAACAGATAACGGATATATATATGTCATTGATGTTTGCGACTGTCCAAAGTAAGGAAAATTAATCATATACTATAACTTTCAGAACTCAAATTAAGTTTGGTAACGTTGGCTAACTAATTTAGAATCTAGCAGTCAACATTTTCCCAATTTCAAGACACATACATTAACAAAGTGACCATCAATCACTTGAATCAATGAAAATCATCTCAGTTCTATATGTTGGCTCGTCAACTTACCTCTTTTTCTGTTCTTCTCTTCTCTAGTTATCTCCTTTTATGCTACTTTGA